GCGGCTGGCGCACCCCTCCTGCTGCTAAAGTTACGCGACCTCGAACACTTTATAATTTTTTATGAAGAAATTATTTCTGCTATCGCATAAAACTCTTTATATTTTCATTCCCTGATTACAAGTGAATGTTGAAAATATTTTCAAATATGCAGAACTCGCGAAATAGTGTTAATCTCTCTTATTTTGTTGTCGGTATTTCACATTTTGTGAATTAGGTCTTCGCAAATCGACTTTTCGCTTTTAATTAGTAGAATTATTATTATATATGATATAGAACTCTAGAACTATTGTAAAACAAACCGGAACTCTAAAGAAATAGTTGATTTTACTGATTAGGTGCGCTGCGTGAATTTAGCGCACCTTTTGTTAAAAGTCTATTTTTTTGTATTTAATGACCGCGGAACTATTTAAAATTGTTGCATAGAGCTCTAGAACTTTTCAAGAAAGTATCAGAACTCTAAAAAAATGTCACATTTTTAAATATGGTGTGCCAAGTTCACACAAGTCGTTTCGATAGTTTCGACCGCCATGAAGATCCGCGTTATTTTAAAAGTATTGATTATTGCTCGCTGCATGTGAGTGTCGCCTGTTGCTGAAGATTGACAGTTGGCGATTGAGGCGCGTGACTTTACTCTTCGTGCTGTTTGTTTTGGTTCGCTCAAGCACCGCCGGCGTAAGCACTCAAGCATGGTCTACAATGATAGTAGAAGTAGTAGTGAGAAGTAAGCAATAAGCATATTGACCGATGTCATTTTCAAAATTCAAGAATAATCAATTGGTTCATTTGTTCACTGCTTATTTCTTACTATTATTCCTACTGCCATTATAGACCACGCTTTTTTTTAATAATTGACTATGATTAATTAATTTCTACGGCTTACTCCGCATATTTTAGACCAAGCCTCACCCCTTGTCCACAACCTTGCTTTAATTCTTAAGTTGTAAGAAACTGACCAAACACAGTTAATTATTTTTTAAATAATCGACTGTGGTTGGTCAATTTATTACGGCTTAAAGATTAAAGCAAGGTTGTGGACAAGGGATCAGAGTCCGCGGACGTCTTAAGGACCATCTACAGTGGAGAATCGTACGCCGTAACAGTTGAAAGAAATTGACCAATCGATTATTCTTGTAAAAATCCAGTATGATTGGCCAATTTCTTACCGCTACGGCGTACGATTTTCCACTGTAGATGGCCTCTTAAGGACTGTCTACAATGGGAGTAAAGTATAAAAAGTAATACTGCTTATTATTTACTACTATTTCTACTGCCATTGTAGACGACGCATTAAAGAACCGTCTACAATGGGAGTAAAGTATTAGTAAGCTGTAAGAAGTAAGAGTAAGAAATTGACCACTCACGAATGTGAGAAGAATAGTCGACTGTGATTAATCAATTTCTTACTCTTACTTTTTACAGCTATACTTTACTCCCACTGTAGACGGTTCTTTAAAGGGACGTCTACATTGGAAGTAAGCAGTAAGAAGTAGGAAGTAAGAATAAGAAATTGACCAATCATAGTTAATTATTCTTCTCACATTCGACTGTGGTTGGTCAATTTCTTACTCTTACTTCTTACTTCTTGCTATTTACTTCCAATGTAGACGTCCCTTAATGCATCGTCTACAATGGTAGTAGGAGTAGTAGTAAGAAATAAGCAGTAAGTAAATGGAGCAATCACAATCGATTATTCTTGAATCGTGACAATAGAATTGGTCAATTTGCTTACTTCTTACTACTACTCGTACTACCATTGTAGATGACGCATAAGATAAATATAGACGAAAGAGTATTTGAGATTCTTTGAGCACATTTGTAAAATTATCCGAAAAGTATCTCTTTCCCTTAAAAATTCATAAATAGTCGTATAATAAAATGGTGAAATAAAACATATGAAATAATGAAATATCTGTTTCGTCTGAAATGAGACACATAAAATGATAAAATGTCTGTTTCGTCTGCATGTTTCATTTCACCATTTATTGTACGACTATTTACTGATCGCCAGGGGAAGGGATAGTTTTCGGAAAATTTTTTAAGTATGCTCAAACTCAAATGCTCTTTCGTTCGTATTTATCTTTATTTAGAAATGGCACGCAATTTTTGTCAGCGTGTCGTTCCTCGCTTTTATCGTCATAAATCCAATACAGGCGCGACGAGAAGCCTTAAAATATAAAATCACAAGAAATAGCACCTTTCAAATAGATTTCTTTTTTGGACATTAGAATATTCTCCCTTTAATTTTAGAAAAGTTCTCTTGAGACCATATACAAGAGGACTCTCCTGTGGATGAATTATATTTTTTTTGTGATTTATATGAAAAAAGCTATATGCATAAAATATTCTCTCCGTGGACTAAATAATCACATTAGTTTATTGGTAAAAATAGAATATATCAATTCATTTCTTCATCATAATGCAACTTGCACATCGGCTCTTATATATTGACCTCTTTTCATTAATATAAATTCAAACTAAGACACGACTATTTCTTCGCGCGAGTACATACACGGAACATATACATGCCACACTTCATCTCTTACCTGTTATATTTCAATGTTGGCTTATTTCCCGTGCGCTTGGCCGCGCTCGCTTGATTTATCGCTCTCGCGAAACGAATTGTCCGGGCCGAATAAATTAATCGAGAGCAACGTGATCAGCGCGGCGGGAAGAAGCGCGAGAAAGAAAGCGCGATATTAAACGGCTGGTTGAGATGTCACGAATATCCGCGAATAGCCGAGCCGGCCGAGGGCCGCCGCAGGAGCGTAGGTCCTTCCGGCGGATATACGCGCGAGGGAAGAGCTCCGAAGTAGGATTAATAGCCCAGGCAAATTCGCGACCGCTAATGGGCGAAACTGGCACGAATTGAAAAAGTTTTCCGGCGGAAAGGCGGGCGTAAGCGGAAAGGCTCGCGTGTAACGTCACGATAAATCGTAGGAAGACGTTGATGGCCGACAGGTAGCTCGGATATTGCGCACCCTGCGCCACATACAGACACACACACACACACATATCCACACATGCCGACGTACAGGGTGGATCAGAAGTTCCGTGAGATCGGTATCGGCAACGTCCGCGGAAGTCGCGGGAGTCATCGTCGGACTCGCCGTCCGCGACTCGCCAATTAAAAGCGGGCGTTCATCGCCGTCCTATCGTCACCGTGATCTCTCCGAAATTATCGTTTCGTTCCGAACGATAATCTTTATGGTCTATAAATTTCCCGCAACACGTTCGAGCTTAATTATCGCGCGTACGACATTTCCGCAATTGCTCTTTACGCTCAAACGCTCGAATTAATAACGATCGATTTTTTTATATGTATGTCTCTATATGTGTGTGTGTATGTGTGTGTGAATGTGATTATGTGATGCGTTCTATACACTACCGACACACCCTGTATGTTGTATCGATACTCACACACGAGTAAGCGACTACCGCGGAAATTATATCGCAGGGATGAGTGCGAATCTAGGTTATACCATATTGCTGTTACTTGACAGACAATTATTGCCATACGGTGGAGCGTGAATGCAATAGAAATACCCGCGGAATAACGCGACGAAATAAGGGGAACGAAGTACGTAGGGAGTATGGAGATAAATTGAATATTAAATAATTCTTGAATAAGTACTTCTTCCAATATTTGTTCATTTCTCATTCTCGACATGGGGAAAATGACAGCAAGTAATCATAGCTTCGACGAATACACGGAGAAAATATTGTAGTAAAAATCACGTTAAAATTATTTTTTCTTACAATGTCGTTTGCAAAGCTGAGTTTATTTATTAATTGCAGTATAAATTGTTATAAAAATAGTAAATTTTACGATGTACTTTGAATATATGATACAAAAAATATTCAAGTAACTACAATAGTTTTATAGCAAAGAATCAAACGTGCATAATATTAAAAAAAATATATTGTAATTTCAATCATAATTCTGTATTGTTCAAGGTTACAAAAATTTTGTTGTAATCTTTGCTATAATATTTTCTCTATGTACAGCTATTATACTTGTATATTATTATATTTCAAAATATCCGTTAATCCTTCACAAGTTCGATATTTGCAAAGCCAATATAAAACTAAAATTTCAACTCAAATAATGTCTTCGATAAAAATCTTAGGAAGATCCACCAGTAATCAAATATATCAAAATGAAATACATTTAAGTTTATAGACATTCAAGTTTATAAACCATTTCTATTTTTTAATATGACATATAACGATATACTGAAGAGGGTCAACATTTGACTGAAATGTTTAATTAAATTTTAAATCACGTTAAAATAACGGCTGTGAGATTTTTATAGACAAAATATTAATTTCAGTCGCTTTTTAAATTATGTGAACCAAAGAAGAAATATTTTTTGTTTCCTTTTATTTTGATTTTTTAATCTCAATGACATAATAAATTAAATATCTTATAAATTAAATATCTTATTTTCGTAGCATTAAGAAAATCCTCGTTGCATATTATGCAGGAGACTTGTCATTTTTCTATTAAATTCTTATGTAGGAAATTTAAATTGACGTTAGACGTCTAAAGAAATGTCAACTCGATGTTCAGTTTACTCGTAAAAATTCTTAAGCCTGCGAAATTAGATAATTTAATTTTCTAGTTTATTTGACAAACTTTTTGCACCAACTTAGTGTTACACAACTTAAGTAAAAACTGACGAGAACAAGAATCTCATTAGTACATGTTAAAATCTTTTGTATCAACCTAATATACAAAGAGTATTTCCTTAATATCCTACTTGAATAAGGTACTTAACTTATTATATTATTGCTTAAAAAATAAGAAATACAAGGATATCTCTTTTTTGGCTAATAATTACTTGATTACTTATGAGTATCCTCTGGCAACTCGCGCGTTTCAAATTGCACTCGAATTTCCCTTTATGCCTTTTATCTCGCGACACTGTAAGAAAATTCGATGCTTTCTCTTGTACTATTGCCAAGTCGATTATCGATAATTCATGTGTAACAGACTTACCGACGAAGAAGGACACGGCAGGAGTAGCATCGCGTCGAGTGGAAGCAACGTGGTGGATTTTTCGAGTTGTCGTCGACTCTCTCGATCCGTCCAGCTCGGTTTCCTGCAATAGAAGAGAAATGAAAATCGTGGTACATGCCGGTATACTCGCGCTACTATGACACACTCGATATCACGGTCGTTTCCCGGCCGCGGAAAGAAGGGTAGAACGCGATGTAGGACGCGAGGCGAAGCTCGACGACGACGTCGCGACGTTTCACCCTTTCTTCCGCGACGCGGGCTGCAGTTTTATCACACAGCCGCGCTTTATGTCGCAGTAATACCTCGCGCGCTAAATGAAAAGGTTATTGTTTTCCATTTTGTCCTGCCGCGAGTTTCCCTGGGTCCGTCCTCCGAAGTTCCTCCTGCGGCGAGCGCGCGCGAAACTGCGCCGTATATAAAATGTTCGCTGCGAAGTAATACGGCCGGTAAACTCGGCAAATGTACTGCGCGCGATTTACGTCGTGTTGCGCCGAAATCATTCGCTGGAGCCGGCCGCGGTAAATCGGAAACGCATTATGCGGAAGTTACGCGCGATCTCGCAGAAGCGCGTGAGCTCCAACAGAAATGAAGAATTCGGACGGTCCTCGCGTCGCAAATTAACCTTTTGAGTGGCTATGGACGCATATATGCGTCCGGCGAATGTCATTAGTGTGGATTATCCCGAGTAGAAATGTAATTAGTCGACCTAAAAAGACTAATAGCTAGCTAGTACAGGCCAGGTTAAATTTTTTAGCCCATTACAAGCTCGTCATTAACCGATTATTTACTAAAATGTAAAATCGGTTTTTTGATATAGCCGTTGTTTAGCCATTACATATTAAATATGATAAAGTAGATGGCAGCGTCTATTAAATTGGTGCAAAAGGTTTATTATATTTGTCAGATAACAGAAAACGAAATTATCCAATCTCGAAGGATTAATAATTTTGACGAATAAGATGAACGACATCGACTTGGTATATTTTTAAACATCTAACGAAGACTTTTATTTCTCTTCTAACATTCAAATTTTCTAAAGGAATTTAATAAAAGCATGTCAATTTCCTTTCCAATTAACTTAACTTATAATCTAGTTATTATGCTGGTAGCATTTTAGAATTAGGCAACTCAAAAAATTGAGAGAGTATACTTTATCTCATAAAAATTTTAGAAACGTAGAAGTATTATATTACTGGCTGACAACTAGTTATGATTTTATCTCATAACTTGAACAGAAAATTGATCAGATTCTAGCAAATAATTGACCAGAAATTCTGGTTACTGATTATTTTCTGACGAGCTGATCAGAAACTGGCTAGTTTGGGCAACTATTTGCCAGTAACTGGAAACTCATCAGTTTCTGATCAATTTCTGACTACTTTCTGACTAGTTTCTATTTAGTTCTACACTGAGGGAAATTGTCCGATAAAAAATTAACAAACGAATATTTCCGATTGTAGAGCGGTTCTAACCTATTTCCGAATTTCTTTGACTATACTGACGGCACAAGTAACAATCATCAACTGTGGTAGAAACTTATATTCTTGTTCTTTCACATAACTTATCGACAGTGATAAATACGATTTTATTTCTTTCGGGCCACTGCTTTCTTGATTTTTCAACAAAACATTTCTCTCCTATCGATTGACTTACGATACCTCGAAGTACTCAGCTCGTCCTCAGCGATTTAGCTTTGAAACATTCCGCACTTAAAATATTAAACGCGTAAATTAGACGCGAAGTGTTTTCCGCGTTATATTCTTGATTCTGGATTTCTGGACGCGTGACGCACACGTCCGCGCGAGGAACGGGACGGTCGTGGAGAACAGTTTTGCTACGCGCTCGCTCATATCCAGTGACGTCGCCGTGGCGTTGTAATAAAAAGAGGCGAACTCGCGTGAAAGTACAACTTGTTTCGCTTTAAAGTTTTAAAGGACGAAGGCAACAGCGTGCATCTGCGTCGCTCGATTTCGGTGTCTTTATCGTTGCGCGCAGTCAGTGTGCTTTGACAGGTCTGAGCCCCTATGATTGATATCTACCTCGCCCTCCTCTCGCTCTACCCGTTATAGTCATCCCTCCTCATCTCGCTCACGAGGGTCTCCCTTTTCGATTATACCGTCCTGTCTATCCATCCACCTCTATAATATTGCATATGTATATGAATATTTATCATATTAATGATATTCTTCATATTTTTCTCCACCTATCTGTCCACTTCCTTATTTATTTGTTTATTTGCTTATTTATATACATGTAAATATAGTGTGTACGGCCCTGGTTTCACGCTTGTCGAGACAGACCGGTCGATACGGCTATTATGAAAATTGAAAATAAAAGCACTTTCGCATCCACTTATATATAGAAACGGTCGATCTTTGCAGACTCTGACTTGCTATTATGGGGCGATCGTTGTTCGACAAAATATCGAGACTTATCGCAAAGTCGCGAAGCGACATAGTCGCACGCGATTGATACTATGGGAATACACGACGATGAGTCGGGGACTTCCCTCTTTCTCTCTATGATTTCAAAGACTTCCATGAATGTCACGATGTAAGGCAACCGATGATGGCAGTTTTACAATGCTTTAAATTACATTTATGAAGCAAATGTAGCTTACTGAATTAATCATTAAATTTACATCATACAGTAAAGCAATTTTTTTGTTATATTGATGCAACATCAAATTCCCCAGATAGACTTTCATGATTATCACAACGCGAGACAATCAATGATAGAAATTTTGCAATCTTCAATAACATTTATAAAGTAAATATACTGTATTGAATTAATCATTAAATTTACAACATGTAATAATGTAATCTTTGTTATATTGATACAAAAACAAATTGCCCAAAAAGACTTCTATGATTATCACGACATGAAATAATCAGTGTAATGCCACCGCAAATGTAAAATTTACACTTAAATTATTACATTTACATTTTACATGCACATATTGTATGGGTCAGAGTTTGACAATGTTTTCGTATCTCTTTCTCTATTCCGTATATCTTTTCTATTCCGTCATTTTATGCGCTAAATACGAATTTCGTATGGACCACTCGTAAGGGATGCAAATCGACTAAAGTTGCTGCCAAATTTTCACGCACCTGTCTATCTGGGAAGTGTCAATATCCTCGATAACCGAATATGCACGTTCGAATTTCGTGCTGTTCGAGGCTTTTTTCTACGTTTATTTTCTCGAGTTTATCGTTTTATCGGTTTCCCCTTTATATTAATAGCTTGAATACCGCGCGACGCTGAAATATCAGCGGCCGATCGCATGCGACACAACGCGCAGGAAAAACGCACGTTGTCGTATGTTATCGCGTATGCTCTGGCGGAAGCCAAGTTTATATGTCGAGGGATGAGGTGATACGGTGTGCTTTGCGTAACCATTCGCTACGATTCAATTTAGGAACTTTGCTACGGCTCATTTCTCGACGTGGACCGTCGGGCACGAGAGGAGCTTCGGATATAAGGAAGAGAGCCCACTGCAATACAATGGGATTCCTCTTCACAGAGCGATAGGGGACGAGAGAGAGAGAGAGAGAGAGAGAGAGAGAGAGAGAGAATAAAGGAAACGAAATATCCCCGCGACCGTGCTTCAAACGTGGCCTCGCGCTATTGTGAATAAAATTGCCGATTTGAGCGTGATATGTCGATTAAATTTTCCACATATTGCAGACGAAATCGTGTTTATTTCAACTGTGCAAAATCCCGCGACACATTCGCACTACACTGAAAATCGAGACACGAGATATTTTCCGCGCCATTCAAAATGGAAATCCCGCGAGGGGCAGATGGGCGGAGAGGGAGGGGAGAGAAGAGAGAGCAAGAGGAACGGGGGTTAAATACACTTTCATTATTCTGGCCGTACTGGTGTATCGCCCTTCAATAGAAATTACCGAGCGATTAGGCTCGCGCGGCCGGCATAAATCACTCGTTGCGATTTCCAGTCGCGCGACGAAATTCACGCGAAAGCCGCATTAATTAAGCCGGTCACGGCCGGCGAACGGTCGTTCGAACGGCGAAGCTGGCGTGCATTTTCTTGCTCTCGGGGCATTATTTAAGGGAAAGCGCACGTTAATGCGCCTGCCGGTGACACGGGCATTATTAGGGCGGAGGGCGTAAAAATAGGAGGAAAAGAGAAAGGAAGAGAGAGAGAGAGAGAGAGAGAAGTAGGAAGAAGGACGCGCGAGCCGCGGGGACAAAAATGTCGTTTCTAAATGGTTTACGTAAAGCGACAAGTACGCCTGTCGGTTACGCTCTCTCTGCCCTGTGTCCCGGCGCAATGACAGGTTTAATTACCGGGCCTGTGCGTGCACGCGTAAACGCGAATTTCTACGTGCACGTGCGCCCGCGCACTCCGTCGATTTTGCAAGCACGCGATCGGAAAGCGCCTTCGGTTTCGTTCGCGTGCGCGCGACATACAATGCAAGACATCGAGTAATTATTAGCAAAACAACAGCGAAGGTCGAAGTCTCAGGATTATACTTGCACACGTGTACACCTTCCTTCCATCACCCTCTCCCTCCCCCTCTCCTGCCACTCTTCGTCCGCCCCGAAGAGCGGAGCGGACGAGAATGGACGAGACGAAAGAAGTCGCCCGTTGCGACGGAGCGTCAAAGGACGATTTATGCTCTCGCCCGTCGCGAGTTGCGGAATTTGGAAAATGCGTTTAATGCAGAGCGTCGATGCCGAGAGATGGAGGGGCGGGGGAGGGGGGGGGAGAAGGGAACGCCGGCGCCCTGGCGTCGACTTCACGCTCGGTCGTGCGCATTCCGAAAGAGAAATTGAAATTGCAAGGTGACAAGGCGGGGAAAGAGCGAGACCGCTCTCGGGTCAATTGTATTAATTAAATCTCTTTTGCGCGATCGTGCATTGCGACTCGACAGGCAAAACGTGTGCGAAGGGACGGGCGAGCGAGCGCGAGTGAAGAACTCAACGGCCAATTCGGATTCTCGCGTGACGATCTAATCGGTCGCGCGCACCGCAAAGCGCCGACAAAGCGTGCCTGCGAGAATTTCTGAACGCGCGCCAAATTAAATTAAGTTGAACGATATACTTAGCGAGCCT